AATTGTAAAGTATAATTAATTAATTCATGAAAAAACCTGATTTCTACAATTTTAAACTTTGGGACCTGATTTTTAAATTTGGAATAGATAATACCTGAGTTGTAAATTTTTCCCCATGATCATTGGTTTAGGTTGAATTTTAAAAAACTAAAAATTTATTAAAAAAAATTGATATATTCAATTTTAGAGTTGAGTAGCTATAGTTCTAAATCAAGAACCAATAATCGAAAAGGTCAACCTTAACTAGTACTCAATAAGTACTTTACCGTATATTAGTATATTTCAATTAGGTTTGATGCACCGTTTTAGACTGTATAAAAAATTTAGAGCGAAATTAAAATATAAACTAATAGGTGAAAGGATTATGGTAGCTTAAGAAGGATAATATTCTTTGATTTTTTTGTTGAAGAAATGCCATTTACTATTATCGATTCTAGTTTCATACTAAGATCTTTATAATGCTGTGCCGTACCAAATGCAACATTCGTATATTAGACAAAATCAAAATATAAAAGAAAGACAAAGCACTTAGTTGTTTGAGCGATAGGTTCAATGATGTCTAGTCCAAGATATTACACTGTAAAAAGTCTATCAATCGCCAATGATCTTGAATAGAATTTGACTAATGTCGAAGTGTAGTACCTATAAACAGTGAGCCCGGATGTTTTCTTGACTCAAAGAATTTCTAGTCACACTTACGAATCTAGTAGTTTGATACATTATTTTACGTCGAAAAAAGCTTAATTTGAGCAAAAGGAATTTAAGAACTCGTATATAAACAACTTCTATGTTTAGAGTTGTTGGATGTCGTGTGTGATATTGTCATATTTGCCCTGTGAATCCGTCAGTTTTGCTGAAATTTCTAAAAATCCAGCTCTGATTTTCATTCTTCCGTTGCTATTGTAGGAATGATTTCTTATGCATTTTTGTCCGAAATTATAAATGCTTGCGAGTATTCAAACTCATAGTTTACTTTCCTCTAATATGTAACTGGCTGCACCATGCAAGTGCACAGTGTACAGCATCAACCTTCAAGCATGGAATTAGAAAGCAAAAAACTCAAATTTTATAAAAAGATTTCTAATTTGTAATTTAGACTTTTGATTCTTGCCCTGAAGGGGGAGCCCATCCAGAAAATTTATCTGTTGAAGAGAGAGTTTCTGACTAATTTTTAGCCCTTGTTTGGGTTCCATTTTTTTTTCAAAAAATACACCTTTTCAAAACTAGTTTTTAATCACACAACCTCCCATCAAATATTGTTACACATAAATTTAAAAAAAATCTCATTTTTTAATCGCACATTCTTTAAAAAAATAAATATTTCAAAACATATTTTTCCCAAA